CGGGACCCCATCCCCGAAATAGGCGGTCTTTCCTGCGTGGTACATACGTAAGAGCCCGCCAAAGTTTTTTACGGGAAAGCTGCTGACTCGCGAATCAGAAAAGCTAGAGAGCTGAAATTTTATGGGAATGTTCCCCGTCCAAGTGGGTACTAATGAGCCCAAACCCAACCCCCGGATAAGCGTGGTACCCGCGTACGGGCCCGCCGAAATTTTTCCTGCGTAAATTCATAACTCGAGGATGGGAGATGCTAGAAAGCTGAAACTTTAAAGAGGTGTTTTCTGCCAGTTTTGACGGCCTGTCTTAATTTGTTTAGCTAGAAGGATTTGCCAAAAAACCGATGCCGGTAGCGACAGAAACCTGCGGGGAACTCTGCAAAAAACGCATCTTCGCACGGGCTGCCTGTGCGTTGGCCATTTATTTGTTTCTTAAGCTGCGAAATTTCCAATGAAAACTTCACGTACCGGTGCGTGAAATGCAAACATAAGTAAAAGTTGAACCTGAAGTCTTGGACGTGAGATCTCGTCATAAATGAGAGGTAAATTTGAGTTTGTTATGCCAGCATTAAGCAGAAAACATCCTTCTGAAGTTTTCGGTTTCCAGCACTTTTCGTCCCCGAAATAATAATTTTTCCCGCGAAAACTTTTGCGGAGGTGTACGTGGGCAGGAGGGTATACCTAAAAATTTCAGTTCCTAGCTCTCGTGATCCCCTAGGGAGTAATTTTCCGACAAAAATTTCCGCGAAGACGTACTTGGCGCCCAGAGACACATGCATGCTGAATTTAAGCTTACGGGGCCGCACGCAAACGAGGAAAGATCTATAAAATTTCAGCCTCCTAGCTTCCGTAGTGATCTATAAAATTTCAGCCTCCTAGCTTCCGTAGTTCCGGATTTGAAAGAGCGGAACAAAATGTATTCGCACACAAACACATAGACAACCCCGTGACAGCACACGTTTTTTGCTGTGATTACATAGCGCAAAACGCATAAAAAGTATCTAAAAACTTTTTAATGACAAAGGGGATAAGCATATATGAAAAGGGGGCTAACAGATATTCAATTTGAAACATGAAAATCACCTGAAACATGAGAAGTATAAGGCAGAAGCGACGGGTTAAATTGAAAACGAGAAGAAAAAAACTAAACTTTATCAAAATCAAGTATGATCTAAAAGTGTAAACTAGACTGATACAACAGTTACGACAAATATAAAACACCAAAACATTTCTGTATGTACGGGGAGAAACAAGAATGACATAAAAAAGAGATGTCGATGTATCGAGTGCACTACTGCCCAAGCTAATTTACTGGCAGCAAGAAATCCAGTGCGTAGAAACAGACGACAAAAAAAAGAACAGCACACAATTCAAACACAGTCTCAAGGGACATAAAATGAAATCGGAAGAAAAACGAAAATCTCACTGATTACAAAAAAAGAAATATTGCGAAGGAACAGTGACAAAATCGAGAGCAGTAATTACATATCAACCTAATACTTGCTTAATCGTCAATTTTTGTGATAAAATAGTTAATTGAAGCAGTGAAGCAGCTGCACACTCTAAACAAGAAGTTCGGAATTTTCTATGTACTAAAATTCCACTGGAAAGCAGAAAAACCAGTTATGCTACTAACAAAACAACCAACAATCACAAACGTCTGAAAAATACTGCATTAGTAGCATCTATGAAATTAAACTTCTTTACTGGCCTAATCAATAATATGAAGATCTAAGGAATCAATCTCGCACGGATAAAGCAACATTTACCAATTATATGATACATGACTCGAACTGTGCCACAATAGCCATTAACAAAAAATTTTTTTTTCACCCACAATGTCAAACTAGCCACCACAAATTACAGTTTCCTGTTCAGTTCTAATGTTTATATTCATTCATAATCTTATTTATATGACAGCCCTTACTTGATTATATCATAGTTTCCAAGCATTTTCACTGGTGAAATATAATTCTTGACGGCCAACACCACAATTTATGCTATTAGACATTAGGTTGATTCGTAGCTATTAAAAAGTTTGTTTCAAACCTTTCGGTCTTTTATAGCGTCAGCAGCAGCTGGTGTATATTCCTCGCCGAATTCTTCTTTATATTGCCCCTTTAGTTTTAGCAGTTCTGCTATCGCATTCTTTGTTTCAATCTGCAACAAAACAAAACGCCAATGTTTTAAAAAAAATGTAACAGATATCAATTAATGCAATTTTCATTTTTTGCTGCTGTTACACACTCAAATGCGCTCCGACAATCCTTCCTGTAAAGCAATATCATGATCTCGCCAATTCATTGTATAACTGCTTATTCTGTGTTATTCTGCATGATAAAGAGTAAAATACTTTGTTGAATTTTCGCAACTAATTATAATCTTATATTGAAAAGAATTTTTATGAAGATCAAAGTAATCCCCTTCCAATCAGTCCTTGTAAAAACATGGAGACACTCGAAGCAGCTCAATTGGTGACACATGCCAAAAGTAGTCCACTTATTGGTAAAACTATCAATAGTTCCCTCTTCTGATGACTGCTGAGATGTACAATATGATGGCCGTTTCGACTTTC